AATTTGCATATTTCTTTGAAATAAAAGGATATTTTGCCAAAAAAACTATCCAGTAGTTTTTGTCATGCCCTAGCCTATCTACCATAGGAATATGAGCAAAATCGAATTTTCGACCCTTGCCGAGTTATTTTCCATTTTTATGGACAGGGACTCTTAAGTAGTTAGTAATAATAATTGGTATTAATAATAATTACTATAATAGGTAACATTTATTATTATTATATAGTTCTAATCAATTTAGCGCTTTACAGTTATCTTTTTAAAAAAATTACAAAAATATATGAACTTCACAAAAAAATTTTAGTAACTGAAAAAATACTCAAACTTCAGAGTAAAGCTTGAAGAAGTAATGACCATTTCTTAAAATTCAAATTTTGTTTAAAATTTTTTTCTCTCTTGTATTTTATAGAAAAAGATTATTGCTATTATTTACATTTTGACATCAGTGCTAAGGTATGTATCAAAATTATAAGATTCATGTATATTGAAGGAAGGAGTAGTGACTTGATGGTTAATATACTAGTGGCCTGTGTTACAGCCATGCACCCTCCCTGAAAGAAAAAAGTTGGAGAGAGCGTCACTCTGTGTGTTGCTGTTGATAATCATGTTCCTTGCATAAATCACTCACACATAAAAACCATTTCAGTGTCACAACAGCTTATGTGTCATGTGGAGACAACAAAGGAACCTACTTTCTGCACATGATCTTTGCATGAGACAGTTAATGACCTTTGAATGTTCACAGGTAAAGAAACCAGCCTCTTGCAGAATAATTTTGTCTATTACACAAAATGCTGATTATCTCTGTTAACATGGCTTAAATTGTACTTCAAAATTGTAAATCTAAATGCCACTCACACCAAGTCATGTGCCTGGAACATGATTTGTTCTTCTGGACAGGGCAGCTGTAACACAGGCTAATATACTGGGCTTGGATCAAGTTACCTGAGTTTGACCCCTGACAGTGTCTCTCTCTACCCAGGAGTATGAATGGGTACTGGCAAATTTTAAATGCATATTGTAACCCTACAAGCTAGGGAATGGCATCCCCTCTAACTAGGGGGAGTAGAAATACTCCTGGTCACTGCATGCCACAAGAAGCGAAGAAATGATAGGCACCCACCTGATAGGCCACTGGGCACAAATGCAGAGTCTACAGAACAGAATAGAACAATAATACACCAAATGCAATATGGAGGACCATTCGGTCGGCACCAGGGACAAGTTGTATGAAAGCGAGGCAAGAGTCAGGCCTCTGTGTTTTGTTTTGACAATGCTTCCTTGGAAAAGTCTTTCTTTATCATAGATCTGGTCTGTTTTATTTTGCCCTGCCCATGAGTGACCAAGTGGTCCGCCAGATTTGCATTCTGTGTATTTAGGGAGAGTAGAACAGGATCAAAATTGCATTCTGGTGAAATTTTGAATCTTTTTGTCTTATTTTTCCTTAATTCTAGTTGAAATTTGTTTGCTTTAACCACTTTTGGCATGTAAGGCCCAGTTCAGATGTGGAAGTTTATATGTGCCAGCCTTATACCCATTTGAGTTGACTCAGATAATTAAGTTTTACAGCTGACTCAGACCCTGGAGTCTAAAGGTGTTAAACTTAATAATCAATTATTGGATGTTAAGTTTGATACCAATCTCTTTGAGGTAAAAAAGCCAAAATCTGTGGTGTAAAATATAACAATGTATTTTGTATATTCTGTAACGTACATGTATACGTGTCAGCACATCATCATGTTAAGTTTGAGGTCTGAATCAAAGTCCAACTTTTGCTGCTGCATTTGACAGCAGGTGTAGTCTAATACGTCGGCAAGGTTGACCCAAATACTAATGCGCCGCTCGTCACTAATTCAGATACTGAACTTATCATGTACCATACAATATTGAAATTAGGTTTGCCACTGGTAAAGTTTGATGTCTGAATCACTTTAATTTTCAAATTCCTGAGGTGGTAGCTTACAAGAGCTTCAACTGTGCGACAAGGACGCCTCTGTATGTGTACATGTACAGGATCATTTTCTACACATGCTGTATAATTATGAAGAAGCACATTAATTTTTCTAAATTGGTTAGTTGTATGCATCAATAAAATTAATTTGTTAATTTTCACCTCATTTTTAAAATTGCAGTATTCTTGGAGCTGGATCTGTGATAATTTATTCTGTTGTCAAAAGGATTGTTCGACGACCAGAGGTATATGATATTCTTTGAGTCAATTCTATTTCAGTTTTAACAGATGCACTGGAATCTAGATTTCTCAAACCATAGATCTTTTTTAACAGCTCACGACTCAAACGAAAAGCCATTTTCCTCCCCTCAGTTAAACCCATTTTTACTCCTGATTTCTTGAACTTTCCGATTTTTCAAACCAATTTTTGTTTCCATTGGAGGTTTGAAAAATCAGAAAATTATGTCTACTCACTGTTTTTACAAATTGTCTGGTTATATGCTCTTTTTGTGGTTACTGGTTTAAGCCAATTACCACTATTTCATTGGTTGTGTATGTGAGGAAGTACATGTAAGATAGTCCGTGACTTTTTGGAAGCTTTTGGAGCAATCTCTCAAAGTGAGACTAAAAGACTTAATCAAGTAAATCTTGAGTAAATCAAACTCATTGAGTTCTTTTAACTAATTTTCACCTTTAAAACAAAATGAAAATAACTACTTTTTGCAGTTCACAAAAGTTTGTAACACTTTGTTTGCCATGTTTTAGGTTCACCCTTTGTTCCATTTAGCCTTAGCAGACTTGCTTTTGGCTTCCTTGTGGTTCTCTGGTGCCTGTCTTTGGTTTCATAAACAGGAAGGGAATTGTTTTTATTTGGACGTTTTTGCAGAGGTACGTTGATTACCTTGGAAGAAAAAATATTGTAAAACCACTCAAAGCATTCTTACTATAGTAGAAGCTTGCTATCTCGAGCTCGGTTACCTTTATCTCAAATTCCACTATCCAAACTCAAAATCTTTTTCCTTAATTTATAATTAATACTTTTCAGTCATTCAACTCCCATTATCTGAAACTTTTTTAATTTCCCTTGTGGGATCAAGATAGTGGGATTCATTTGTTTTTATTAACAAAATTAATAAATGATATCAGTATATTAATATCAACTGAAGATTGATATTGGTTTTGTTAATCACCAGATGGCACATCTTGCAACATTCTTTTTGACGGTCAACTATGGTTTAAATGCTTTCCTCAGACTGCAAGAGAAGGTTCAAAACTTGCAATTCTCCTCAGTAAGTGTTGGTAATGAAACCCAAAGTAATGGTAAGAGCAGTTTCTGTGGACTCTCATATGCAACTGAAACCAAATCATTTAGGCAAATTTAGGCAATCGCAGCAAAAGTAATTTATCTATCAGTAATATTTGCAATAACTCATAAATCTCAGAGCAAGCCACATGCAGCTGATTGTAGGGTTGGATAATTTCATGCTGGACAATGCCTGAATAATTTCCTCCTTGTGTTGTATTCTTATGTTATTTTGTTAATAGGCTTCTCCAAGTAAACTTTATGTTCACCTTTCCAGGATGTTTTATGGAATGTGTTGGTGAGTACAAATACAATGTAGCTAAGCGGTGTTATTGACTGATTTCACGTCATGAACAGATATATTCATTTCAGACTAGTTAACTTCATCACTTATCTGACTGCTAGTGGAGAACTCTACTACAACAGTGACAGGGGCAATTGTTGGAAAATTTGAAAAGAATCAGGAGATGGTACCAGGATCTTGTTTTGCTGATTCAAATATATTTTAACCCCTACAAGGTATCAATAATACAATTTGCTGGCTTAAATTTATTTTTCAGCCCAAAACCTGGTACCACGGTTAATTTATCAAAATTTATTTACCACTGAAATGATTTTGAAATAGTTACTGTGACTATATTTCATACAAATGAAAAGTTTCAATTAAAAATCAGCTGAGTAACAGCTCAGTGACACCCTAACTGGTCAGGTGCCACAATAATTTCAACAATGAGAATTTTAGATTTAAGCACCCTAAGTCTAAGTGGTAGCAATTGGCCAATGTTACCCCCCCCCCCCCCAATCTCCCCAAAAGATGCGACAAGCACTCCCATCATTTTTAGAAGGGAGCCCACCCTCTTGGTATCAGACTTTCAGTTTACACATGTTCATGTACGATTATCAGTAGCTTTGGTTCAATGTACAGTATGCTGTTCTTGTCTGTCATGAAGAAGGGTTGCACTGTCACTTGACAACAAGACAGACCTGTCAGAGTTATGTTGTGTTAACATTTGTACTTCTCTGAGAAGAAAGCATGCAAATACTCTAGTTGCTGTTGATTCCTGAAGGTGGCCCTTGTTTGCATTCCATTGGTCAATCAAGTCTGACTGAGTATTAACAGTTGGGTTAAGATATCTGATTGCAGCAAAAAGCCTTGTGCATGTATCAGGCAGCCTGAGAGTATGAATGACAGAGAAACATGTGTGATTGATTTAAAGAAATGATTGTCTCCCCACCCCAATAATTTGGCATGCCTCCCCCCCACCCCGACTCTATCTTCTCCCTGCAAATGAGTTAATATCCTTTCTGATATACAGTAATTTTTTTTAAAAAATATGTTAATCATTTCTTTCTTCATAGGATCTTCCCTGTGGCAGTTATGGTCCCTTTACTCTTTCACTATGATGAAGTCCATAGCCCTGGTGACTGCACTCGGTAAGAACTTACCTGTCCATCTTTAATCCTGGTGATTATTCATTAGAATGCAAATAGGAATAGTGATCAGATTTAGCTTTGGTTGTAGACACTTTTGTTCTTTACAAGATCTGGCCTCCATCATGGGTTTTTCGGTGAACAATACAAATACAATAAAAATACTTAGCTGATGTGATTCCTTGAGCAGGAGTTTTGTTTTCCTGGTGGTGCTTCTTATGAAAGTGGCAAAGCTGCAAGGAGAGTGGTGATGCCCCTAGTACTGAAACAAAGCTCACAGGCACAAACTCCTGCCAGCCACACAGGCTAGGCAAGATTTCAATATTAGAGAGCACTCCTCTCTATTGTTTGCAATGCACAATGGCTTTATATTCTAATTGAGCTCTTCAGTCTCGAGTGTATTCAGGCCCCAGTTCCTTTGGGTCCCAACGCACTTAAAGTCTAGCCAATGGAAATGCATTGTGCTGTGAATTTTGGCAATTACAGACACCCACAGTTCCTCTTCCAGGTTGTAGAGGTTTTCTGTAAAAGTGCTTTTGTCCTCCAGGTCTGGCTCTGACTAACCTTAAATTCTCTAAAACTGTCACACTTCCAAACAATAAAAATTAAAACGGTATTTTTTTTTTTTTTTCTGTGAATAAGTGGTAATTGGCTTTCGAACACTCTGGACTAGGAAGCTCAAATACCAATAAAGTGCTGGACAGATTAAGTAGCCTTTAAGGGAATGTGTTGCTGGAATGGTAACGAAACACAAAGTGCAATGGCAAGGTTATGCCAAAAGAACGTACAATGGAATACTAAAAAGAGTGCATTTGGCATTGCATTCTCTCTTTAAGTGCTGGTCTTTAGTAAGACTTGCTCACAAGTCAAGCTGCAAAAAGCCAGGCTCGGAACTAGAAAAATGTCTACAATGCTCAAAACCCGAGTGAATGAGGATGAGGAAGAGGAGTGCCTTGCACAACGGACTTTGAGAAAGTGTAGTCTTTATGACTCATCGATGTTCTTCTTTCTCTAGTATTAGAACAAGGGTGTTGAGTGGTGCCTATGAATACAAAGGTCTTTTCGCAAAATTAGGACCATATGGAAAAAGATAGATTTTAGTAAGGGCTGTTGGAATCCACAAAGAAATCTGGCGGTTGCCAAGCCTTGAACCTGGAATAAAAATGTTGACGTCAGCATTTTTCAGTAAAAGAAGGAAAAGATATTTCTTCACAGATTTCCCTAGAATTCGCCTTTGCATACAGAAAGCAAACCCTGATTTATAAAGATCTTAACTACATGGCAAATAGTAACATGAGAACAAATTTTGGTATAATTATTTTTAATAACAAAATCGTCGCAACAGCGCTTTTAGCGTCCCAGACAGCTCTCCTCTGGTTTAGCCAAAATACAGTCTAAATAACTTTTCCTCACAACTAGAAACTAATCACGTGTTGAATAGGCTTGCCACTTCCATTTCAAAACATAAAATGTAGGGGTAACCACGCGTCTTTTAACGTTAAATGTCATTGAGCTGTTGTCATCTGTTTTGAAAACTTTTACGGTGTCCGGTACATTTTTTTTCCTGTCTCCTCCCGCGTAAATCAAACATTTGCGTCTCTCGCACTTGTTTTGCGCGCGCACTACGCAATCTGCAGGTACCTGTTTACAGTTGGATTTCAGTAAAATTTTCGACAGATAACAGCTAGTTTTCAGCTAGAAGCCGTTAGCAGTTAATTGCTAGCGATATGCTGCATATCTGGTATGCCTGGTTTTAGTACAGGTTCATTAAACTTGATTTGGTCACAGTAGGAAAATTTTGTTTTCATTTTACTCGCGTACTCGGTAGCGTCGGGAAACGTGGTGGCCTCCTGGTTAGTGCGCTCGTCTCCGAATTGAGAGGTCCGGGTTCGAGCCCTGGTCGGGCAACCTCGTTCCCAGTGTCTCTCATTAAGTTCTTGGGCGAGACACTTTACTCTCACAGTGCCTCTCTCCAGCCAGGTGTATAAATGGGTACCGGCGAACTTAATGCTGGGGGGTAACCCTGCGATGGACTAGCATCCCATCCAGGGGGGAATAGAAATACTCCTAGTTGCTTCATGCTACAGAAACCGGGATACGCTCCATGCCCTGCGTGATGCACAGAACATGTGCGCACTAGGCAAAAGTAGGCACCGTCCTTAACTGTAGAACCTGTTGTTATTTCAGTGTCTACTGAAAGTGGGTGGAATTATCATTAGCGGTTGTTTATCTTTAAAAGGCCAAGTAGCTAGTCCTCTTTTGTAATCAATGCATGTACGTAGGTGTAGGTGAACTTTGTAATAATATTGAGTTGCGATTTTTTTTATCCAGCTGCCTCTTACTTTTTGACCGACCCAAGGTTAAGGTTAGTTTCATCATTCAACATCAGAAATTGATATTTTGTGAACTGTGCTCACTAACTACGCATGGGCTAAAATTGTAGTAAAATATCTCCATTAGCCTGCCCTCTCTGACAAATTCTGTCAACTGTATCACTCAGCCCACTTAATCATTTCTCATCTTCTCCAAGTTTGAATATCAAGTGCGTTAATTAAGGTGTTACTTAGACTTTGGCCTAGCCTGCGAACAGGCTTCCAGTGAGCCCGAACGAAGCGCCCCAATCGCTTTGCTCTCCAAATTCTTCTGTTTCGCGCTCGCCGAAATTTTTTTCCCTCCTCGCCGGGAGTCTGTTCGCAGGCTAACTTTGGCCTAGCTACATTCCGTTGCAATTAGAGCAGAACCTTGAAAATAATGCAATCTCTTGTTTGTGTTTAAATACTTCTGAAACGTCGTAGCCTGTAAATTAATACAGCCACTTCTTATCACTCCCGGGCGGTTTGGCATAGCTTGGCTCGGAATCAGAGCTGTTGTGACATGGTTGCGATTGTTATGTAAAAAGCACGCTATTCAGTAGAGGGTAACGGTTAAATTATTTTCTTAACTATCGTAAAATTCAGGTCATAGAGCACTTCCCACTTGAGTGTCGAGAACTGATTGGTTTTGCAATACTACGCTACACGATTGGCTTAGTCTACAAATCTCGCGCCATTTTGTTATCCAATCAGAAATAAAACCAAAACCAATCGCAACTTGCTCCCACTTGTTTTCCCGCGCTTAGTGTCTGCTACATGTAATTACCTTGAGTTTTGATTGGTACATTGGCTTGCCTGTGTCCTCTGTGATTGGCTAGAGTGATTGCTTTGGTTTTGGTTTTACGACACTCAGTTGTAAACTGCGCTAAGCCCCGGGCTTATTCCACATCATGACTGCTAGTTTCTAAATAAGAAGACTTGTGAACAGCACATAGCAGCAACTAGTAATCCAAAAATAAAAAATAAAAAAATAAATAAAAACAACCAGTAATCTTGTGTAACTGAGTTTAGTAATCGACCGGTTTCGTCTGCTAGTGAGATGTTTTGCGTGGACCTATATCCGGGGAGCGGAGGGGGAGCTTATAGTTAGTATATATATGTAAAGAAAAAATGTTTCGTAATAAGCTGATGAAAACAGTATCTAGCTGTATGAAAATATGTTTTGTGGTCTTGAGAACAAGAACAGAGGGCGCAATTAAGGAAACAAGTTCCTGAAGCCCAGAGGTCGTTGTATAAACTAAGCTTCCTCATAATGGCAAATACTGGTCAGTGAGGCACACAAAGTAAGGGAGATGGGCCTAAAACCAGGGAAGGGCTTATAACCGGTTTTTATAGTTAAACACTGGCGGCTGTAACAGAGGGAAGGCCGGATCAGTGAGTGACTCATCTGAATTTTGCCTTACGTCATTGCTATTATTTTCAGAGTTCCCTATCAAAGTCGCACTCGATGTGGCAGTCTTATGGTTCTGTAGCACTGGTCACAACCTTGACCTTTTCCATTGTTGCACTCACGGTAAGCAGAATAAGTTCCTATGTTAAGTGGAGTATTACAAAGTGCCGAGGGACTAGGACTGTGTGCTTGTTATAACGGGGGTACGATATACCTGGGTTGATTTCCATTACAGTTAATAACTTTGGCCGAGATTTACAGGGGCCTTCGTTCTAAAATGTTCCACTGTACAGTAGCATTTTGGCTATGCAAGTCCGTGTGCGCCTAAGTAAAAATTTAGGAAAGTCAAAAACTGCGACAGAATATGTTGTTTGTTGTACTGAAAATCGATAACAAAGAAACGAAAATTGGCTTGAAATTGGTACCGTTCTGTTCTTTAAGCTGACTGGAAGAGTGAAAAACCATGGGTTTGTAATTTGTTGGGGAGCAAAGCATTTCTAGTCTCGTTGAGCAGAGCCCAAACTGAATGGAGGTTTCTGCATTGATGCTGTATTCTTTTGACACTTGAGGAGTAGCAAATGTGTTTTTCTTTTGTTTAAGTGGCTAGGCATATGCATGATGTTATTAATAAATTATTGTTTAAAGTGCACCTAACCCCCAAATTTTTTTTTCGCTAAAACAAATCTAGACTTTATTTGAAGCATTTGG